CAATGCATCAAGTGCTGTGCCCTAAAGCATAGAAGGGGCAAGACCCACGCAAAAGCAGTTTTCAAATGGCTTTGTTCTCTGTATAGGAGAGCAACCGCTCTCATTATCAGGAATCAATGTTCTAGTCTAAAACTCATGCTAGCAGAGTCAGGTTGTGCTCAAGTATGTTGACTTGACATCCTGACTGCTGCCCTGACCTTGTCCTGCACTCCCCGTTATGTATCTGAGCCAGCAAAATTCTAGAGCTCAGGGTGAGTGCATGACCCATGACAGCTTCCTATTAGTACTGAACCCCACGTGCACCCAGTGTCTCATCTGCAAGCAGGTGCATCATTAACAGCTCCATCAATAATACAGGTAGATTCTTATTTTGCTCATGGACAGTCCCTATTCCCTCTCTCCCCTGTTGCGAAGGAGAGTGGAGTCTCAATATTTACCATATGCATCCCTTATGCAATTGTAACAGAACTCTGTGTGCAGTGGCTGTTTGTTCTGTTCCACTTGGCCAGGCTGTGATCCTGCAGGGCAAAATGATTATAGGTGTGTGACTGCCAGGAGCATGGCTGGAATGGAGTGCCCGGCATTCACCAACAGGAACGTTACCTGTGTGTGGGAGGGCATTATGGCTACCATCTCGCCTTCCCTGTGGAAATCACTGCTGTTAGCTGCTGAGGGAGGGAGGATTACATAATTCAGTCTTGCCAAGGCAATTTTGCCAGTATACAGTTGACAATATTTGGAAAGTGATTGAGGGAGAATGTTGAGAGGAGAGAATGTTGCAGCATTCATACTTCGAGGTTTCACACAAACACACACACCTACCTTTGCTTGCCTGTGTGAAGTGCATTGGTTCCTCTCCAGTTGGGATGGCTGAACAAAACACCTACTGAGTGTTTGTGTATGGAAACTTGAAGTGGATACTTGTAAAGGTCCTGAGAAGACAAGTGTCAGAAATCTGCTTCCCCTCTATTTGTTGGGGCCAGATGGTACAAAGTGCTTGGTTTCTGTGCAAAGTGACTTTCCCCCATAGGCTCCTCATGTTCATTCCATGTGTTCATGACAGGAGGCCAGAAAGATCTAGACCCATGCTGTGCATTCTGTCCTTGGAGTTACAGCTTCCCACTTTAATAAACTGGCATGGATATGCTGTAATTGGCTGTAGTTGGTCTGAACTCCTATAGTCCAGTGTCATGGTGTGAGCAGAGTGGGGAGAGGTGGTGGGCAGTGCACTGGGCTCTCCATTAAGTTCAGTGGGAGACTTTTAACTTGCACTACTCCTTTCACTGGTATGTTAAGCTAATGTAGGAGCTGGGATCAGGGGCTAGAAAAACATGGGGTTTGGCGTATTTTCTCTTCCCCAAAGCCTCAAGTACTGTCCTGTTTTGGCCCCTCTGCCAGTATAGTTGAGCCAGCATGGCTCTGACACATGGCCCATTGCAGTAGCGTCTCTCACGATGTGCTGCCACAGTGGAAATGCACTACATTCGGAAATGCTCCTGCTAACATGCATGCAGACTGGGTTATGTGTAAGTATGTCTCTTAGCCATTTGACCTCATGCTTTCCTTTTTTCTTCACTTTCCTCAAATGCTAGATAGTAAACCCCTCAGAGCAGAGACCTGTCTCTTTTGTTACATCACACTGTAAAGAACCATGTACCCTGATGCTGATGATAATAGGATACAGCTGCTGCAGTCCCAGCCATTCCTTTCCCAGTCCTCTTGCCTTAGTAGCCACAGCGAAAAGGGCGAGGAAGCAAGAGTGGGGCAAGGAAGCCAGTAACAGAATAGACTGGGAGGCCCAGCAGCTGGATCCTTTCTCAGTGCCTTGGAATATTTAAAGATAGAGATATTTTTCCCGATTCAACTAGGGATGTGTAAGACTGAAATCATGCTTAATCACATGGATCCTCCACTGGGTCCGTGCAGGATGCCTCTTTATGGTAGGAAGCTCTGCTGTAATATGTCTTGCTGCCAACACTGTTATCTGTTCAGTGCCAGGTTAAGACTGTCCTCTGAGGCACTTGACAGCATATGACAAGGTTTTTAATTCAGGTTCTAGATTTATTGTTGCTTGTTAATATTATTAGGTGCATCTGTGCGTCCATGCTTGTGCGCGCATATGCTCATGCAGCCTGTTGTGTAACATATTTTTGCAGTTTCTAATTTGTGTAAACTACCCAGAGACCTTTGGCTATTGAATGGTATAGAAATATAATGAATAAATGAATTTCACATACACGGCCTTTTTATTCCAGATGTGTGCATCCCAAAGGATGCATGGCGCTCATAATGGGTTAGACTGGCAAGTGTGACATCGCATATCATAGCAGAAGTGCAGTGGAAAGCCCAATACAATTCTTCAGTCTTCCTTCCCTGCCTCCATGTAGTGTAAGAACTAGTTCCTGTTGAGGAATTAGCAACTAATTCCCATCCCACACCACTTTATCTTGTGATGCGAGAGTGTGATATGAATTCCAGGCTAAGTGCTGCCTTTTAATCCATGTGCCATACATTTCACAGATTGTGCTACCCTAGTCTCTGGAAGCTCTCTCGCTTTCCTTCTGTCTGAGATTGTGACATGTACCTTTTTCTCTCTCCATTGCTGATTCACTGGCCAGACTAGATAACTGGTTCCTAATCAGAGTTGTTCGCTAGGCCTATCTGACTCCTCTTTTAATTACCACAAGAAAAAAGATAGGAACACAGCAAGAATAACTTCTAATTCCAGAGCTAAGAGATCTCATTACAACACAATTACTAGCCTCTAAAATGCAACCACTTTTAAGTTAGAAAAGGACAAAAAAGAAGGTTGAGGGGAAAGATTGCTTAATTAGCGAAAGGTTGTTGCTAAGAGGATTGCTATATCTTTGTGCAATGTATGGGGAAAACCTGGTGTGTTTACCTCTTGCCAAAATTGTCAGAATCCTGAAGTATCACAGTACAATGAAGAGAGTGTGACAATGATCATCATCTTATTTTTTTTAGCATTAAACCAATCGTAGACAAAATTCCTGGAATCATTCCCAGCTATTAGGAAAGAGTAGTGGACAAAATTAGTTAGAGTTGGGGTGCAAGCCATTTGTAAAGAATGATGATTGCCAAACTGGGCAGGGGGGAAGCAACTGAAGATGTTGTTGTGTATTAATATTTATAACCTCTATTCCATCCTGAAGGAGGATTTTCAAGGTGGCTCACCTGTCATACAAACAATAGCAATAAAACTGTGAAACAATAAACAAGAGCATTGACAAAATGCAAAGCAAATATGAGATTATCACAACACATTTATTGAAAGGAAAATCTAAATGGTATGGCAGGGTAGGCTAGAAGTTTTGTCCTATAGTAACTCTCATCCTTCACCATTGTCAATGCTGGTTTAAGGTTAGGGTTCAGATGTCAAAACATCGGGGGGGGGGGGGGTGTTACAAATTGCCCAGTCCTACAGAATGCTCTCTATCTGTGCCTGAAAGTAGAGAGGTCAGCCAGATTTCCCAGGGAAATGGACTTAAACTAAGGGCTGGTTTCTCCTAGGTTGAGGTAGTTGTAGATCCAACTGCTTCAATGTTGGCCATGCATATGCGCATCACTGGCCAGGATGTATGCCCTCTGACAACAAATCATTTTTCTTGGAGGGCTACTGTGAGATGTGAGTGAGGTTGCTGACCAGCACTTCAGTTCCACTCCATAAAATTCCCTGGGTTGCCACTGACATTTCCTCAGGCCGTCAGTTCCACCACCTCATTTCAGAGACAGCCTCAGAAATAATCACACAGTGCCGCAGCTTGTAGCCCACAAAGCTGGCAACTGAAACCATGCATAGGTCACTCTATACTAATACTTCTTTACTTGATTATGGACACAGAATTTGGCCACTCACTCATTCTCAGCCTAACCTACCTCACAGGGCTGTTACTGTGAAGATAAAATGGAGCTACGTATGGAAGTTGTCCTGGATACCACAAAAGAGGGAATAAGGCGGGATGTGAAAGCAATGGAATAATAATAGTAGTAACGATAATATGATTTTTATCTTCTAGTTGCTTTTCATATTTATGTCTTTGTGTGCATGCACATGTGTGCTCTGAGAGAGAGAGGTGTAAATGACGGACAATTTATGATTTTCATACAGATAAAATAAAGGAGCATGTGCACATGTAGACAGGGTCAAGTTTTTCTCTTGGGAAAGCGTCCATAAATACTCATGTCCGGCCTAATGGAGTACAGATTCATTGTGTTCTTTCATATTCTCCATACTTATAATGGGCACATATGTTTTCTTTAATCAGGCAAATAGAAGGTTGTGCAGCATGGCTTTCATAAGGGAAGCAATAAAATGTGTTCACCAACCCAGCCCTCCCTCTCTCCCTCTATCTGCAATGAGCTCATCTGAATTGGGTTGTCCTGAAGCCAGTGTTTGCATTTTTTCTTTTTTTTTAATGGGACATCCCACTGTGAGCCACTGCTGCCTTGCTTACTTTGGCTCTCCGTCACCAAGGTTGTGTGTGCATGTTTGGTTTTTTTTTTTTTTACTGGTTCTGCATCTTTGTTAGCAAGGGGAATGTTCTGTTATGGAAACAAATTGATGGGAAAATTTCATATACTTAGCTTTTACACAGGAGACTACTATTAACAACCACAGGTAATTGATGCCTCATTTGGATGGGTTCTTTTCCAGCTCTTTTAATGCAATTAATCCTCAATGTTAGAATGGTAAACCTACACTCTATTAGTTATTGTGGGTACAAAATCAAGGAAAGTAGCTATTGCTGATAATTATTCTATTCTACAGCAAATTAATACAATTTTTTATATGCACCCAGAGACCTAATGTTCAGAAGAATGGGAATATGAATTTGTCAACATGCTTTAGGAAGGCCAGTTTCCTTTCCAAGTGGTGACAGTCTGGCTTTCAGATCTCATTGGAAAAGCCACATGTCTTCCTACTTTGCTATGTTGAAAGCTTAAGTTCTCAGTATCAATGCTTCCTTTTTCTCTTGCAGCATCTTGGCAACAGTTGGCACTGAATTTGACCTGCGGACTCTGCGGGCAGTTCGTGTACTTCGGCCACTAAAGCTAGTGTCGGGAATCCCAAGTGAGTTAGCCCCCCATTTGTGACCTACAGCCTTTCTGAAGCACCAGGTGTGACATAGCCAAACCACCCTCTTTGAAGCACCAACTTCAACACAAACTGTTTCTTGTCTCCTTGTGGCATCACGGCTTTCTTGTCACCACAGCCAACATCCACAAGGAATGCAGCTTCTACCCTGCTATCTGCCCTTGGAATCCAGACAAAAATTCTAGGAGTGACCCCACTGAACATCTTTTGAAATATAAATGATACAATTTATAAAAACTAGTCAATAATTTTCTAGTGGAACTAACTTTTGAGTAAATATCCATTGCATCCCTCATTCAACAGAAAGTGGTTATAAAAATTGACATTGGAGGATCTACTGAAATTCTAAACTCAGGAAGATATGACCCCTTCTTACTAATCTTCCTGAGTACTCTTTGCCCTGGTCTACTCTCTCTATAGGATTTTTTTCTTGTTTAGTATACATAATTGACTTTTTCTCCAGATAATTATTCACCAATAAAAGAACTGGACACATCAATTATCTGCATATTGATAGAGAATAGGGAACCTGTTTCCTCTCCCTGTCTTACCTTTGCTGCTTCTGAATCCCATAAACAGGGTGCAACTCTCAGCTTAGAAAGAAGAGGTGGGAAAGTTGCCCAAAGCAGGGAGCAGAAGACAGGTCTCTTTCTAGCCCTGGTGAGAAGCAGTAATGTATGCTGCTATGTGTGCTTGTGGACGTTTTCTGACGATCTCGTTCTGTCCTCTGTCTTTTTCCTACAGGTTTACAAGTAGTCCTCAAGTCCATCATGAAGGCCATGATACCTCTGCTACAAATTGGCCTCCTCCTATTTTTTGCAATCCTTATTTTTGCAATCATAGGGTTAGAATTTTATATGGGGAAATTTCACACCGCCTGCAAGGATATTCATACAGGTAGGTAAAAGAGCATCTTTGTTTCCCTGTCTCCTCTCCTCCTCTGTCCCAGTTATTTTGAGGCTGGGCAGAAAGTATCAGGCAGGGCAGACATCTGCTAAATTAAAGTGAGGCCTGGGAGATGATTGAGAGTTATTACATTTTGGTTAGGGAGAAATGTAATCCGGGTTCAGATGTACATAAAGTGTGTGATGAACCTGCTGGGTAATGGCACTCACTGTATTTTGTTCATAAGTATAGCCTTTCCTTCAGCTTCAGGAGGAATCAGTTCTTCTTGTTTCTGGAGAAGGTAGCCATAGAAAATAGTAATTGGTTGTCCTTAGGATGCCAGTGGTACTTACTTCCCACCTCCCACCCCTCCTTTATGGAACATTTCTCCTCCAACTGTTAAAAAAGTTATATTTTGTTACATTTAAAGAAAAAATACAAATAAAATGCTGAACAGAAGTGCTGGAGATTCTTACAGCCCTTTTAAAATGTTATTTTTAAAAAATGGTATGGAAGGAAATTGGAGGGGCCAAGATATGACACGGGCTACCCTGAGCTTCTGCCTGCCTTTTTCCTACCCCCCTTGAGGCATCAGCGCTAGGCAGGCTAAAATGCACATCTAGCAAACATAGAAGGCAGGAAAAGGGCAAGATGATCTCCTCCACAGGTTCTCCAATTCCACATTGGATAACAGGAAATCTCTGAGTTTGGGGTCTTCTGATCCTTGAGGGTACAATAGCTAGTACTGTGTCCTAGGTGATCCGCAGTGGAGAAGCATGTAGATGTTATGAATTCAGTTATCTGATTAGTATGTCTATCAAATGGCTTGCAAAACAGGATGAAGCTGGGCCTGAGCAGTGGAGCAGGAAAAGTCCTGGGCCCATCTGTACACAGCCATACACAGAGGCTCTGAACAAGAATTCCTGGTTTCTCTTTCTTGCAATGGGACCAGCACATTCTGTGGCAATAAGCAAATTATCATGTCTTACTAAAATCCCATGTTGCCCCTATTTTTTACAAAAATAGCATTTGCACCTTCCATGGAACCACCTTTCCCCAGTGGAAGGAGCAATGGTCTCTGAAGGGTTCATAAACTCAAATGTTCCTCTTCTACCATAGAGGAGAGGGGGGAAAAGGCCTAGTTCACATCGATGTACAAATCAATAGGTATAACTTTCATAGGTAAAATCATGCAATCATCAACACATAGATGAGCCAGAGAAAAACCCTTTTTTGTGCATCCTTGAAATGTAGCTAACATGAACCAGGCCCGGTTCCAGAGAGGGCCAGATGACTCTTGATGGATAACAGCAGCTCAGACTAGGGGCAATTCACAACAACCCACCCCATCTTCCTCCTCTTCTCTGAAATAGCACCCATCCTCCTCCCCTCCTTCCCAGCATCTTCTTTCTGCATTGGGATGCAGGCAGGAAAGATCATGCCATTGTAATTTTTTACTTCTGTAACCTATCAAAAAGTGTTAACTGTGTTATCTGTAACCCCTTAACCCTCAGTGTATAAAAGGGCCAACTGAGCACTGCTCAGGTGCTCCATCTGGAATGAGAAAAAATCTTTAAAAATGAAGCCTTACTATGTTGTGTGGTTTGGGGATTTTGCACACCAGGACACAGACCTATTTTGGTCAACAACATTGTCAGGGACATTATCCCCAGCTGCACTAAAGCAATTTTTTTGTAACAACATGACATGTATTTGTGAGCATTTGTTTTCCATTTGAGTGCCAGGTGCCCTCACAGTAGACTTGTCAAGTGAACGCACAAGCATGGGCTGCCATTTTCCACACCACCAAACATCTTTTAATTTGCTTATTATGTAGCATGCAAAAATCTGAGCTATCTTTATGATATGCTAGTCACATGACAGGTCATCATGAGCATACTTTCCAATAGGGCTATAAACATGCAGTCACCAGGAATGCTATCCCTGAGCACAAGGACCATCTGAACTAGGCCCAAATCCCTCCAGGTAACTTATGTGAACGATCCTCAGATAAGGCCAGGCATGCAGTCTGGTGCGGTGTGGTGCTGAATCCTGAATCCAGTCGCCTGTGCTAAGTCTTGCAGCTGCTGTTGAGATTGGTCCCAAGGTCTGAGAGAAACACTGTGCAAAGGTACAAAGCTAGCTTCAGTCACCTCATTAATTGGGCTGTTGATGCTCACCACTGCACTGCCCATCAGGGGCTGCTGACAGAGGCCTGAAACTGGCCCTGCCAGGAGACAGAGTCCAAAACCTGCATCTCTTTGGAAGGTGTCCAGGAAGATTATACCTGGGACCACTGACTTGTGATTTCTGCTCTATATAAAATGGCATTAGTTCATATGGCAAGGACTGCCATTTGGTATTTCAGTTTTTGGGTTATTTTATATGGTTTTGTTTTAATGTACATTTTATTGTAAGGTGCTTTTTCCCCTGGCAGAAAGCTTCCAAATGGCTAGGTAGATGAAAGAGCACATGTGGTGATTTGGGCCCAAGGGTCTAGTTAGAGCAACTAAGAGAAACCAGGGCTGACTCTGCCTTTTACAGTTTCTGAGATCTTGACTAATACAGCCTATCTACTCAGGATTTCTTTTGTGGACACCGCAGAAAAGGAGGAGAGCTCCAGACAGCTCATCAGATAGATTTATGAAAACATGAGGTGAAAAATTTCAGCTGCCCCTTGAGAATTTCTGCATTACCCTGCATCATAATTGATATAAGTTAGGCCTGACTGTATCAAGAATACTTTTGAGCAAGGGTCAGCCTATATCTGAACATACATCCTGAGCAACATACCACATTGAGCAGGGATATGTACAAACGTGCATAAAAACAAGAGTGACTCTGCTTCAGGAAGCTTGGGTATAGTATTGTTTGTATGGTATATCAATAACATCATAAGATATTTCTGTGACATCTGTGCACAGAAAAAAAAAACAAGTTAAAAAAGGATCAGGTAGCAAGTAATGGCAAAGACCCTCCTCTGCTAGGGACTCTGAAGAGCTGCAGCCAGTCAGAACAGCCAATACAGTCCTGGCCAGACCTGGTACATTGTGCCAGTTTGAAGTACAAAGAATGTGCAGAGCACTGACTGGGCACCTGTGGCAGAATAAGGCTCCCCACCCGGGCAAGTTTTAAAAGAAATGCTGTATTTTTTAAAAGCAACCACAGGATGATTGCTTAAATGTATATGCATGCAAGCAGTACTTCAAACAAACAAATAAAAAGTAGGCAGCCAAGTACGGCAGTGGGGAAAGTAACAGTGACAAGGAAACCAATGTTTGCTGTGGAGCCGGGCAGCCTGTATAATCTGAAGGGCAAATGTAGCTGGTCCCAGGGCTTTCTTTGCCAGGGCAAAAAACATGCCTATTTCTATTTTTATTTCTCTTTGTATACTCATGGAAAAGGTAACTGTACCAAGGAAAAAAAATCTTTGCTAAGCAATAACTGTGGAGGAAATAACTTTTTGAAGAGCAAACATTGCCGTTGCAAGGCAAGTGATGTCTTTTTACCTGCCTCCTGCAGTTACTTTTCAGCTCCTGCTTATCTGCATGCTACAGTCATACTCCAGGCCCTCTTTTTCTTCCTCTCCAGATGAAATCAAGCAGGAAGCGCCATGTGGAAAGGAATCACCATCGCGCCTCTGCCCTAATGGGACCAAGTGTGAAGAATACTGGCAAGGACCCAATTATGGGATCACACAGTTCGATAATATCTTGTTTGCTGTGCTGACTGTCTTCCAGTGTATCACCATGGAAGGGTGGACCGACCTCCTTTACGATGTGAGTATTACTATAGTAATATGGCCGTGCTATGCTAGTTTGGTATGTCTCAGCACCTCTTTTGCTTGTACATGTCTAAGTCCAATTCAAGGTGCAGGTTTTCATCTATAAAGCCTTACACAGGACTGCAACACCTGATGGAGCACCTCTCTTACTATGAACCTACATGTACACTATAGTCAGTGTCTGGGACACTCCTCCAAGTGCCTCTTCTGAGGGAGGCTCAGGGGATGGCAAAAAGGGAGAGGGCCTTCTCAGTTGAGTGCTTGTCCTGTTGGGTCCTGGCTGATGTAAACATTGCCATCTTTTTGGTGCTAGGTTTGATGGCATTTGATGGAATTTTAATGCCGTTTGTTTTATCTGGTCCTTGCATCTCATGTAATTGTTTTCAGCTGTTTCAACCTGTTTTTAAATGTTGTATGTATTTATATTATGTTTTGCCATTTTTGTGAAATACCTGCAGAGCTTTGACTGTTGGGTGGTCTAGAAATGGAATAAATAGATGAATAATAATAATTAATGAAATTGCCATATTTATATCTAGACTTAGCTATAGATATATAGATTACACACACACACACAATCAGTTAGTAAAAATGATTGTTTCTGCAACAATATACTGGTGCCAGGAAAACAAAGTATTTGCTGATTGTCAATAATTCAAAATGCTGGTGGTTCTGGCTTAGAAAGAATCTAAGACTTGACCTAATGCTGAAGAACATCTTATATTTTTATATGGGATAAAAGAGAGGTGAGTATATTATGAACCTAGAGATAGGAATTAGGAAATGTCTAATTCTGAAATAGGAATTAGAATGATTCCATCCCTTAGTCATTTAATTAGTTGCATATATTTACATGATTGCATCCCTTTTTCTCTGTCATCCTTCGGTTTGGTCAGTATTAAACAACTTCTTCCTGGTAATAGTAAACCAGCTGTTCTATGTTCTCTACAGTCGAGCTGTCATAAGTCTGAAGCTTAGACTGAATCTGTGACTGTACCTTAGGCACAGTGTTAAACATGTTGAAACATGCTCAAAGCCCCATATCATATCTGAGACATCACTGTTCCATTCTAATAGGAAAGAAACTGCTATTAATGACTAGGGATTTGATAGAAAAAAATCAGATCTTCTCAGATCAGATCAGGATATTCTCTGGTCATTTAGACTCTGGAAAGGGCTAGGATCCCATCATAAAGAGGTGGGGGAATTGGTGCTGGAGTTCTGTTACCATGGGGCTTTCACTAGTCAAAAGGACAAAACTGTGCAGTAATTGAGGATACTGAGATGCCACAATTCCTCTCCCCCAATTTTATTCCAGCCTTTGAATTAAGGATGCTGTAAAAGCTAAGCCCTTCTTTTTCCCTTTAGTGTTCACTAAAGGGTATGCAGCCAAGGCACAAGGTAAACATGAGAAAATAATCCCTGTTCACCTTTTTCCACATCACAGTCATGCAAATAGCAGCACTGGGGCATTGCTGGCAACCTGTTGGATGACTTGGACGTCTGCACAAGGTGAAGGTTGCCCACATGTGTTGTACAACTTTCTAATCTTATTCCAACAGGCAATTCCTTTTTGTTTTTGTTAAATTAGCCACTACTACTCCAAATAGGCTTTAAAAGCTTAAAGCATTTGGATGTGCCTTGATCTTTCATTTAAAACCAGAATACCTATTTATTACTTGTGTGCTGCACATAAGCATGCAGTTGATAAAATAGCTTTATTATGAGGAAATCAGATCCTCTTGAATTCAAAAACATAAAACACCAAAGGCATAAGATAGAATTTTCTTTGAGATGTAATGCTAACAGTCCATTTTTGAAATCTGGACTCCCAAACATAGGAAAATAGTAAAATTCCATGAGTTGCAAGCATATGTTAACCCAGAACTGCAAGAAAGACATGTATCTGACAGCAGAAAACACTGTAGTAATAATAAGCAAGACTGTCCAAATCTGAAATCTGAATATTCTGGGCACTGATTACTTGTCCACCAATAAGCCCTCCAGGATTAGGCAAAAGGATGCTTGAAGATAAACTAATCAATATTTTACACAATGTTAAGAGGTAGGGATCAAGCATTTCAGGATACTGTTCCAAAAATAATAGGGTTAGGCAGTTAATAGAATTATAAGAGTGGAAAAACAATAGGGTTTTTTAATGGAGCTAGGCTGAAACTTCCAAGTAGGGTGGGTGGCCTCTCCCACTTTAATGGCAGATCAACTCCTCATCATGATGTTGAGTTATCCTGTGGCATTACTGCAAAATAAAAATGGCAGTGGTCAGCCAGAGGAGTCAGTGATAGCACTGGTGAGTTTTGAGTGCTCTCAAAATTAATGCATGCATTCCAACTTAGATAAAATGTCCCTTGTTTACTAGCCTCTGACTAGGGGCATTTGTTTTACTGCCTAAGCAACAACAAAGCAACCCACATTCAAAATACAATTCCTAATTTCCCAAATGATGCTTTTGAATTTTTATATCTGAAAGTTAGTAGTATCAGCATGGCTCATACAATCCAGATTCTGCAAAGCTCTTTCTTTGTCCCATTCTGCAGAAAACCTGGAGTGGGGGTGGTGTCATAAGGCCAATGTCCACAAAATAAGAGGAACACTCTGGTATGAACAAGGCAAGGGCAAGTGACCTAGAATTGTGCACTGGCAGAAGAGATCTTACATGCAGGTGGATTTAGAAAGATCAAGGATGAAAAAAACATTGTAGGGAAGCAATATTTGAACCAATGAAGGAACAATGAAACATACAGTTTATGGAAAGAATAGAGCAATCCATTTGGGTTGTTAGAGTCTTTAAAAGAGCGGGGCTGGCAGAAGGCAAAGGATGGAGAAGAAAACTGGCTGGTAGCCAGGAATGAAGGATCACTGTAATGGAGAGAGCATTGATCAGTCATGTAAATAGCAATTGATACAACTGGGCATGTTGAGTCAGTGTTCCAAGAAGCATGAGGAGTGGTGATGTCAAGGGGTCAGGTGGATCAGTCCAGATTTTAAATGCTCTGGGGAAAGGGAAGAGAGCCAGGAGTCAAACACAGTTCTTTTTCACTGAAGCTGATTGTAAGGAGTATCAAAAGGACAAGCTTTGGGGGCAACGTAATGATATGTCAAGTGGTATTTTCACAATGTGTGGTCAAAACAAATACATCTCTGTTTTACATCTTAAAAGCCCATTAGCCCAATTTGGATGCCACTGGTTAAATCCTGGCTCAGGGATAATAGTTATTTATGATGGCTCTTCACATTCAGAAGATGCAATTCTTGCCTTTCCATAGGTGGAATTGCAGTGTCAGCATTATTTATTGAACCATCTAGACACCAACTTCATCTACTTCAAAATTTCTTTCCAGTCCCCACCCCCAACCCAAATTACATATTTTCTTGAGAGCACCATTTAAAAAGAGTGGAAGCCATGCAGAGTCAAGTGGCTGATAGGTGACAGGAGAACAGTAATGGGCATAGAAAACTTGCACAACAAATATGCAGAGTATGAAAGGTCAAATCTGAATCTTCTCATATCCATCCTAGCTGAATGCCTCAAACCCTCAACCTAAATAGTTAAAGGTTCAATCCAGTGGGGATCTCTGTAGGCCTCCAAACCTGGAGGATTATGGGCAGCCTATTCAGGGCAGGAGGAGTGTGGAGGTGGCACTTTGGACAGGGAGGAAAGGAGGTTGTAGGAGTACCAAACCGCTCCTCCCTGCCACCCCCGAAACACCTTCTTTGTTCCTTCTCCAAGGTCAGTCTTAAGACCTCAGGAAACAGCAAGTGCAGTCCTTTCTGTGCCAGCTGTATGGTGGAGGGAAGGCAACCTGAGCACAAATCTCCAGCTCTGTGGTTGGAGTTCTTTTCCAACCCAAATCTTGTAATCTGAATGATTCTGTGGTCCTCTAGATGCTGTCTAGTAGTGGAAATAAGATCACTCTGCCCTGCTTTGTAAAAAGGTAGAAATGAATGTTCTGTGGCAGGGATGGGCAATTCATTGTTTAGAACATCTGGAGAATCACAGCTCCCATAAGCCCTCGTAAACATAGCCTGCAGTAAAGGATTATGGGAGCTGAGGGCCAAAATTTCTGGTGGGTGCACCCTGTTCTATAGTAAGGCAGGGAATAACAATGTTATTGGCTATTTTCTGTAGTATAATAGGGGCCTTAGAATCATAGAACCATACAATAGTAGAATTGGAAGGGGCCATGAAGGCCATCGAGTCCAACCCCTGCTGTTGCAGGACACCACATTACACCATCCCACTCAGATGTGTCAAGTTTCTTTTTTAATGTCTCTAGTGCGGGAGAGCCCACCACCTCTCTAGGCAGGTGGTTAGGATTCTTCTTCATTGATAGTTTCTTCATAAACCTTTATGAACCCATGTCCAGGCACAGCAATCAGGTATAATTCTAGGAACATGGAAAGAGTTTTGCTGGATCAGACCAAACATCCAAAAAGCCATCAAGCACAGCATACTATTTCCAACAAATGGGGATGCCCATAAATAGGACAATGAAAACAATAGCCCACCCCTGCTGTTGTCCAGCACCCCCAACTGATATTCAATAGCATACTCCTTCTGAACCTGGAAGTTCTGTTTGATTATCATGGCTAATAGCCCTTGATAGATTTCCTCTTGAGTTTCTCTAATCCTATTTAAAGCCATTGAAACCAGTGGCCATTTTACCATCTTATGAAAGTAAATTCCATACAAATATTTTGCGTTTTGTGAAATATTTCCTTTTGTCTATCCTAAATTTACAGCTAGTCAATGTCACTGGTTGATCCTAAATGTTAGCTTTCTGTCCTGTTTGTGACACCATTATAATTTTCAAACTCCCTTATCATATTTGCCTATGCACTGATTCCTCCTGTCCGTCCTTCCTTCCTTAACCCTTTTATTTCTCAGGAGAGGTTGTTCCAGTTCTCCTTTTGGAGGTGGGGAACCAGAACTGCTCACAGGATTCCATATGTAACCACACCATAGATCTATATGTA